AATGAAGTATCAATTTACCATACTTTATACAAATAAACATCAGCAGTTGAACAGGAGAAGTACATGCAAGTACTGGTTTAGGAGACAACAGAAGTGAGTACTGGTTTTGAGATGATAGTGACTGCTGATGAACAGGAGAAGCTACTGGTTTAAAAGATAGTGACTGTTGTTGAACTGTAATTGAAACACACAAGACTCATTGGTTTTGAATTGAGACAAAATGAATCCTGATTCAAAAGGAGAATTAAGTTTTAAATGATTGATAATGCTGGCAATGGGCAATGGTGACTCTACAGAGCAAACCACATGCATTATCACCTCTGAAAGGTTAAGGTTCACAAGAAAAAGTCCCAAAGAATATTTATCCATTGTGTGATTAGAATTCAAGTGTCAGTGTCAAAAAGACGTATATTTACATAGATATGGCAAAGAAGGGCTTGACAGCTTAAAAGTAAACTATAGGTATAACTATAAAAGCGAAGCTATAGATTATAAGAATATAATTATGATGCCATATACACACAGATGTTTCAAGAACACTTATAACTAGATGAATGTAGATCATTAAGGGGCGAGCCTGAGCTGGCAGAGCAATTATGTGGTATTAGATCTATGCATCTATGACTATGATCTACTCCAGATGATTTCAAAGCATGCATCATGATTTAAGCATATGTACATGATGAAAGTTACTGCTGATAAAATCACTTTAGATCTTCATTTTATTTAACTTTTAGTCTTCCAGTTCAACATACACATTTCTTGCTTAAAAACGTCTGTAAAGATGCTTTACTTAGTTTTAGAATTTAGATGTAATATTATCTCCAATGTTAAGATGAGAAGAAGCTTAATTGACTTTGACAGTTTTTATAGCAATTGCATCAATAAAGACGAGCTCCATAGCTTCTTAATTGAATCCTTTCATAGCTGCTGAAGAAGTCTTTGGATGGTGCATCTGCCTCATATATTGCTGCTAGCCATTTTGTATTTGTTTCATTGCAACCACACCCACACAACATCAATGAAAATATTTCATCGCATTAGATCATTGATTTTAAATAGAGAGTAGTGCACACATGGGGTGTGACCAGAATAGGTGTGACTGGACTAGAGACGTACAAGGACAGACAGAGGGACAGGAGTATAGCTAGAGTGGAGTGAGCTCAGACTCGCCCCAATAATAATCAAATGCTATTAACAATGTAAAATTATTAGTTAATACATGTGCATGTAGTACAGCAGCAACATGTAATTGCTCATTAGTATCCTAAAGCTGCTTCATTTATGAAAATAGCCTCTCTTATCATGTGTAGTTACTCTTCATTCCAGCTTCCATCCAAGCTTCTCACTGTTCTTACCATCCAAGCTTCTCACTGTTCTTACACAAACAGATAAAGTTGGCCACTTCTCCCACAGTTTATTCCTAATCTGTTGTTATCTCATCATTCTCCTCTATACACTTGTTTATAAACTGTAGTTGCTCTTAATCCAGTTGAAGTGCCTTAACTTCTTTATCTAGAAGGTCTTATGTAGTTCCATTTTCAATGAAATTAAGCAAAAAAACTTAAAAATAGGATATCCTTCAAGAAGTCACTTATAAACTGATGAAACATAGTAGGATAGAGTTCTCAAACGAATTATTCTTCTTCTAGTTTCTAAGAATATCTACTATGTTCTCTGCCATATGACTGTACACCATAAAGAATGTTACACACATAAGCCGTAAGGAAATGTACGCATGATGATTAATTCAACACGTGATCAATGAACGAGCATGAGCATACAAAGAAGCATGCACCTACTTTATTTACACGCTTACAATAAACGAGTTACGCAAATGCTTTATACTGTACGTTTAATTATCTAACCATAGCTGTACATGTATAAAACACTACAAAATATTGTAATAGTAATTGCGATCACACTGGTCAAATGGTAGACAAAGCTAGCGCATTAGAAAACATTAAAAAGAAAAGGCATTAAAAGGGCAAAGTGGCCAACACTTTCCAAGCTTTTGGATATAAAAATCACATTTGAAAGCCACTGATGATTCCCCATCTAAAGTGAGAAAAAGCTCTGTTTGCTCCAGCTAACTGATGTAAGGCTCACTCATGATACTCCTCCATAAAAATGTGCCATCTAAGAAACCATTATATGCAAAAAGGCAGTACTCTCTAGGGAGTAATGATTAAAAAAATATGAAAAAGGGCCACTAAAAATGCCAACTATAACAGCAAAAACTATAGATTATAAGACTACATGATGCACACACACACACACACACACATTGTAAGGAAACATAAGCACAATGATTAACTGAACACGTGGTGAATGAACATGAGCATACAAAAAAGCATGCGTCTATTTTATTTCTGCACTTTTGACAGAGTTATGCAAATGCTTATACTGTACATTTAATTATCTAACCATAGTTGTACATGTATAAAACACTATAACATATTGTAATAGTAATCGTGATCATGTTGGTCAAATGGTAGACATAGCGCATTAGAAAGAAAAAGGCAATAAAAGGGCAAAGTGGCCAATACTTTACAAACTTTTGGATATAAAAATCACATTTGAAAGCCACTGATGATTCACCACCTAAAGTGAGCAAAGGCTCTGTTTGCTCCAGCTAACTGATGTAAGGCTCACTCATGATACTCCTCCATGAAAATATGCCATCTTACTGCTTGATAAAACATTTAAACCAAGTATGGAAAATGGCAGCACTCATGCAGTACTTACAAAAAGTACGAAAAGAGCAACACTAAAAATGCCAACAGTTAACTTCGTCATGTAACAATCAAAACAAATTTAATCCCCTCGTAAAATTTAATCTCTTTAAATTAAAAATTAATATCTTCAAAAAATTTTCTACCCACAAAATGACTCATTACGGTAAATTAGTTAAATTAATCATACCTTTCTAGTTTCTCTCCTTTGTCACTCATAACTGTCTTCCAACTGTTT